AGGCGAAAACATGCACTAATATTGCACTAAAAATGTACTAATAAGTTTGTTGCATTGTAACATATTAGTACACCTTACAGTGTAAACTTAACAGACTTCAGTTACACTCTTTTTAGACCTAAGTACACTTTATAATAGTTAGTTATCAGTGGATATAATCTCAAACTTGTCATAATGCATAACAAAAGTTCATAATATTTACAAAAATGCCACCACAATTTTATAAATTTTTAGCCTAATGAGTTAGATCACTCTAGATGGACCAATAATCATATTAGTCCAAAATATTTTTACGAGGAAATTTGTTCACCCTTATATATATATATATATATATATATATATATATATCAAATAGAGATTAGATGCGGTAATAGGTGGCAGGTGAAAGATGTGGTTCAATCTCAACCCTTGATCTAGCAAAAATAACAACTCAGATTGGATAAAATTTAAAAAAAGAAACATGGTGGTATTATGATAATTTTACATAAGTTCAAAACTTAAGGTGTGTAGTTTATAACTTAAGGTGCTTGGTTTTATAATTTAAACTGAGTATTTTTAATGCTTAAGGTGCACCACTTTCTAATTTAAGGTGCATCAGTTTAAAACTTAAGGTGTTTAAGCTTTAAAGTTAAGGTGCGTAGTTTTAGAGCTTAAAGTGCGTAGTTCTATAGCTTAAGGTATGTATGTTTAAAGCTTAAGGTGCAACACTTTTCTAGTTTAAGGTGCATCAGTTTAAAACTTAAAGTGCGTTATTTTATAGCTTAAGGTGAGTTGTTTTATAGCTTAAAGTGCGTATGTTTAAAGCTTAAGGTGCGTCAATTTTCTAGTTTAAGGTGTATCAGTTTAAACTTAAGGTGCGTTGTTTTATATCTTAAGGTGCATCGATTTGAAATAGTTGATCATTTACATGCATGTTAGCAGGAAGCGCATTATATATATATATATATATATATATATATATATATATAGGGATCAGTTCACGTGCGAAGTGTCTCCTATGTGAAAGATGAGATGAGATCTAAGGCGTTGATCTAATTTAGATTAATGGCTCAAATCAAGAATATATATATATATATATATATATATATATATATATATATATATATATATATATATATATATATATATATATGGATGAGATTTGGTGCAAAGAGTCTCCCAGGTGAAACATGCGGTGAGATCTGAGCCGTTGATCAAATCTAGATCAATAGCTCAAATCAATGAAAATTAAAAAAAAAATGCGCGTCCTGGGAAGACATAAGCAAAGTGTAAAAATGGCGCACCTTAAGTGTTACAAAGACGCACCTTAAGTGCTCAAATGACGCGACTTAAGTGTTAAAACGGCACACATTAAGTGTTAACATGGCGCACCTTCAGTGTTAAAAATGACGCACCTTAAGTGTTATAAAGATGAACCTTAAGTTTTAAAATGGCGCACCTTAAGTGTAAAATTTATGTACCTTAAGTGTATAACTGACGCACCTTAAGCTTTGAAAAGACACACCTTAAACTTTAGAATGACACACCTTAAGCTTCAACAATAACGCACATTAAGTTCTCAAGTGTAGAACTGACGCACCTTAAGTATTAAAATGACGCACCTTAAGTGTTAAAACGACGCACCTTAAGCACATAGAATATACACATTAAGTTTCAACAATACGCAAAATTACCAAAATGCCACCGCATTTTTTTAATCAGTGTTCATTCTTGACAGTTGATTTTGGCAAGACCAATGACTATTATTCAGCCGCATGTTTTACCATATATATATATATATATATATATATATATATATATATATATATATATATATATATATATATATATATATATATATATATATATGGTCAGGTTCCCGTGCGGGCACTCATTATTAGATACACATAAATGCATCACAAAGTGTTCGGAAAGCACAATTAGGTGTGATGCATATATGTTTGTACCGAGTATTATGTGGACGATGTTCCCAGTATTTCATACACTCAAACTAAATGAAAAAAAAAACTTTGAGTTTGTATTGGATATTGTGAGACATTGTCCTTAGTTTTGATTCTCCGTTTTTTGTTTAGAAAACTTGTTTACTAACGCTTATTTTTTTTAAATTTTTTTTAAATTGACGTTATAAAATTAACACAAGTTTAATTTCGAGTGGTTTTTAGATCTTATATTTAAAATATTCTTATATATGTTTGGTTTAAATGGAATAAATTTATTTTTTTTTTTTTACTTTTAAGTCTAATATATGTAAGATCTTTACATAAAAACTAAAAAATATATCCAAACCAATAACGTACTAATTTCACTTAAAATTTAGTTTTGATAATATTAATATTTTTTTAGCTAATATTTAAAATATTTTTTGGATATATTCATTTGAATGACATTTATATGAATATATAATTTTTACTTTGAATTATAATATATTTGAGATTTTAATATCCGATATTTGTACCGAACTTGTGTTACAATATAACATAACTAAAAATATCTGAACTAGTAATCTATTGAGTTCAATCAAAATCTAAAAATTGTATAGAGTCCAATTCTTAATTTTGATAATGTAAATAATGTCTAACTTTAAAGTGTAAGCAAATAAGTTTAAATAAGTAAAGTGAGTAGAAAAGATAGAAGACGGTGATAAGTAAAAAAAGATGATAATGAATGTAATCATAGTAATGTGCTTATAGTGACATATAAACAAATAGATGATAGATGATTCCGTTTTTCATTAGAAAACAGTTTTTAAGAGTGAAAAATTATTTTCAGTTTTCAAAATAGAAAACTGTGTTAGTAAATATGATTTCTGTTTTCTATTCTTTGATTCTCTAATTTTTTAAAAAACTGAAGAAAATTTTCTGTTAGTAAACAGGCACTAAAATTTCCTCCAAAACTTTTCAAATTGCCCCTGGTACGGAGTACAAGTGACAACCATGCCAATCAACACCATAAAATTTCTCATATACTACTTTATCCTACACTCCTACCATTAAATTATTCATCGATAATATTATTACTATTTATATCCCATTAATCATATTCAAACTAAACCAACTTTGATCTTATATACACACCTACGTTCTACATAAAAAGGGTAGAGGATGTGAAAAACCCAATCAAGTTTGTCAGTCTGCTATTGACTTGATAATCACAAGATTATAAGTTTAACTTCTACCTGAAACAGCGTATTGATCTTTTTAATAAAATTAAGCTGGTTAAATGTAAACAACTTAGACTAGTTTAATTTATTCTGATCATTTTGTAATTAAGATCACAATGCCAGATTTACTGGGGTCACTAACAAAAACGCGTAGAGTACGTTTATTCCATTTTGACAATTTCAAATAAGAAGTGTGGATGGAACTGCCCCACATGCCATTTAACATTCCAAAAAGCAAAGGAAAGAAGAAATCTAAGTCTCGTGAGAGTTAAGCAGGGGCGGAGCTACCCTTGGGTAGGGGTCCTGGCCCCACCCCTCATATATATATATATATATATATATATATATATATATATATATATATATATATAAAAGTTCAAATTCATTAAGTGAAAGTAAATAAATCAAATAATTAAATTCATCTTTTTTTTATTAATTAACTTATTATTTTATTAAGATTTCAATAATGGAGGGCATTACGTATCTAATTTAATTTCATTACTCTCTAAATTTAAGGTATATATGTTTTAGTTTTATTAGTTGATTAATTAATTGATAATTTATTTTGTCTTTTTATTATTTATTTACACTTTTAGAATGTAAATTTGCTAAGTTAAATGATTAGCTTTGAAATTTACAAAATTAATAATGATTCTTTATTTGCCGATATGGGTTTTCGTCTTCATCATGTAAATTTTGAAATATATATTCAATTAATTAGTAAAATGAATATCAATTTATTATCAAAAAAGTTGTTGTTGACCAAACAATTGACAACATTTTATTTGATAAAAGAGTGACAATGCATATTTAAATAAATGTAAATATTTTTTTTAAGAAAATTACAATTTTCGTTCCTAAGTTATAGGGTAATTGTAGAATTCGTCCATAATTGTTAGTCGTACTCACTTTTTGTCCTTAAGCTATAATTGACGTTGTAAATTTCATCCTTTTATTAATAACAGGTTGTGTTCAATCTTCGTCCCTAAGTTATACTAACATTGCGAATTTCGTCCCTAATGTTTTGTTAGTAAAGGAACAAATTAGCAACATCAATTACGGAGTATATCTTAGGGACGAAAAGTGATAACGACCAACAATTAGAGACGAATTCTACAATTATCATGTAACTTAGTGATAAAAATTATAATTTTCCTTATTTTTGCTATTATATATATTTTGTGTTATGTGAAAAATTCGAAAGTAATATTTGACAACTTTAAGATTGGATTTGGGTAGACAAACAGAACTTTTGAAAAGCTTCATTATATAATACTACCATTTCAAAATTCTTCAACTCATCCATAACAGTAACCCATTAGCACTTGGAGAGGAACAAAATCTTGTACCTAGTACTAATTAATTAATTATCAAATTAAGTAATATATATATGCATGTATCCGATTTTTCTGAGTTAAAAGTTTAAATTTTTAATGATAATATCTTGTGTGTGGTTAAAATATTTTTACTAGACCGAATACCCGTTAAAGTATTTTGATAACTGGTACATAAGACACAGTTTTGATTTAAAAACTTTTTTGTATGATATGTTTTACTTCAATTCAGTTAATGGTTTAAACTATTGCATGGAGTTGTTTCAAGTTGAACCGTAACCATGTTGAATACTAAAAACAGTGAAAATATTGTATTTTTATTTTTGTTGTGTTTAGCATATAATATTCTAAGTACTATAAGTTTTTCCCTCTACGTTAGGGTTCTCTTTTTTTTCTCCCGTAACTAGGGTTTCGTACGCAAAGTAGATTCCGACGGAGGCCGCGCACGAGCAACACGATCGGCAGGCTTCACCATCTCACGTTCGGCAGGCGTCTAGACGGCGGACATGGCAGCAACTGAGGCTGAGATAGCGGGGCTATCGAGCAGATGGGCCGATATCGAATTGGAAGACGAGGACGCCGGTGTTGAGGCGCCGGCGGTCGACAGTGGCGCAGCGGCGGTAGCAGAATCTTGGGTGGTGGTTGGCCGGTTTCTGACTCAACGATTGATCAAGGTTGAGTATATGCGACAGGTTATGGCCTCGGCATGGAAACCGGTAAGTGGTGTGCATATCACGGAGCTCCAACCGAATCTTTTTCAATTTGTATTCCATCACATAACGGATGTCCGGAGGGTTATGGATGAGGGACCGTGGTCCTTTGAGAATTGTACGCTGCTCTGTAGGGAGGTGAAGGATGGTCAATTGCCGAAGGATATGGTGCTTGATACAGTGGATTTATGGGTGCAGGTGTACAACCTGTCGGTTGGTTATAATACGGTACCGGTACTTGAACAGACAGGGAATTTTCTGGGGAAATTCTTAAAGATTGATGAAAGGCAGATGAAGGGGCCACTCAAAGCTTTCTACCGAATTAGGGTTTGTATGTCTGTGGATAAGCCCCTGAAAAGGAGGATGAAATTGATTCGCCGGGACAAGTCTTGGGGGTGGGTGAATTTCAAATACGAGAGACTACATACTTTTTGCTTTTTCTGTGGACTTTTGGGGCACTCGGAAAAGTTCTGCTTGAAAGCTAGAAACTCGACGTTGACTGCTGAACAATATCCTTATGGTGTGTGGATGCGAGCTGGGCAGGCAAGAGGACCACGGCCAGTCGGTGAATCATGGCTACTAACCGAGGATGATCCACCGATCCGCCTGGAACCCGTGAGGGTGGCGCCAGAAAAACCGGTAGTAGGGGTACAAGGCCGAGAGGAGGAGGAGGAGGAGGGGGTAACGGCGTTGGCTAAGCGTCGCAGGCAGGATAGTAGACAACTGACAGATACAGATACTAGTATGGCAGATAGCTCAAAAAACTTGCATCAGGCGGGCTCTGGTTCCAGACCCGCCCACAACAATGAGTACTCTGAGTTGGAACTGTCGTGGCTTGGGCAATCCACGGACAGTTCGTGCAGTTGTGGACATGGTGTCCAAGAAGAAGCCTGATTTTGTATTTTTGATGGAAACGAAAGTAGCACGAATACATGCAGAACGAGTTCGCGTTAAGATTGGTTACGAGGGTCTTTTTTATGTTAATAATACAGGCCGTAGTGGTGGTTTGGCATTGCTTTGGAGAAAGAATAATACTGCAAGATTACTGGGTTACTCGAAGACACACATTGATGTGGAGGTGAGTATAAGTGGTTTTCCGAACTGGAGAATGACTTGTTACTACGGCTATCCAGAACGTACACGGAGGACTGAGTCATGGGATCTATTGAAACAGTTGGCAACACAATCTGAGCTACCCTGGGTTGTGATTGGCCACTTTAATGATCTCTTGTACCAGTATGAGAAGAGAGGAGGAAATCCACACCCGAACAGTCTGTTACGCGGCTTTGGAGAGACTATGGATCAGTGTGGTTTGGCACAGTTACCAATGAGTGGTAATCAGTTCACATGGCAAACGGGCAAAGGCACTCCTGGATGGATTCAGGAAAAATTAGATAAGGTACTAGTCACTAACCGTTGGAGGGATATTGTAAATGGGGTCACAGTTGCAAATCAATGGACTAGACGGTCAGACCACTCAGCTATTTTCATGGGGATTCGGCAATATGGGAGTAGGAGGGGTGGGGGCCGAAGGTTTCGTTTTGAGATGGCATGGCTCTATGATGAGGGATGTAGAGCGGTAGTGGCTGAGTCATGGGAGGAGGGAAGGGATAGGGGAGCACAAGGCTGTATTGCACATTGTGGAAACCGGTTAACCCGATGGGGGGGGGGGGGGGGGGACAGGTACCATAAGTTTGGGGAAAGGATTGAGCAGCTCCGGAGGAGGCAAGATCAACTCTAGGGATGTACTGATCATGCATCCCTGGATGAGTATAACCGCCTGGAAGCGGATCTATACCGAGTGGAGATGCAGGAAGATGCATACTGGAAGCAGAGGGCCAAACAGCACTGGCTCAAGGATGCGGATGCCAACACGAAGTTTTATCACAGGTATGCCTCGAACCGAAGGAATAAGAATACTCTAGTTAAAATTATGAATAATAGTGGTGAATGGATGGAAGGGGATGATATGGCGGGTGTAGTTCTGGATTATTTTAAACGCATTTTTACAACTAATAATCCCGTAAGCGGTGATCTGATCTATAACAATGTTACGCCACGAGTCACTCAGGCACAGAATGAGGTATTAATGCGACCCTTTGAGGTTGGTGAGGTGAAAGATGCTCTGTTTGAAATGTATCTTGATAAGGCACCAGGGCCGGATGGGATGAACCCGGGTTTTTATCAAAGTTTTTGGGATATTGTAGGAGGTGATATCTCGACTTTTGTTGTAGACTGTCTGAATGCAAACTCATTGCCACCTGGTTTGAATAATACCGATGTTGTATTAATTCCTAAGAAAGATGTCCCTGAACAGGTCACTGATTTGAGACCAATAGCGCTTAGTAATGTCATTTATAGAATTATGGCCAAAATAATAACCCGGAGGATGAAACCCCTAATGGATAGTATTATATCTGAATCCCAGAGTGCTTTTATACCAGGCAGGTTGATAACGGATAATATTTTGATTGCCTCAGAGGTAGGCCATTATTTGAACAGGAAACAGTGTGGAGTGGTTGGTTGGGGTGCCTTAAAATTAGATATGGCGAAAGCTTATGATCGGATGGAATTGCCATTTTTGAAAGGTATGATGATGGCCCTCGGGTTTAATGATAAGTGGATTGATCTTATTATGACGTGTGTTACGACGGTATCCTATAATTTCCTGGTGAATGGGACACGGAGTGACTCACTAATACCAACTAGGGGTTTAAGACAGGGGGATCCATTATCGCCGTACCTGTTTATAATCTGTGCGGAAGGTCTCTCTATGTTGTTACAACAGGCACAAGGAAGGGGTTTAATACATGGATGTAGAGTAGCAAGGGGTGCTCCGCCTATCTCCCATCTTTTCTTTGCTGATGATAGCTTATTATTTTTTAAAGCAACTGTGCGGGAGGCAAATGAAATTAAAGGATGTCTGGCTCTATATGAAAGTCTGTCTGGGCAAGCTGTTAATTACCATAAATCCAGTATATGCTATAGTAAGAATACAACAGAGGAGGTCAGGGAAAATGTGGCACAAGTTTTGGGTGTGGTTCAGGCTCCTAACTTTGGAAAGTATCTTGGATTGCCATCATTCATTGGAAGGAATAAGAAAGCCGCATTTGCTTATATAGAGGACAAAATCAGACAGAGAATAGGATCTTGGAACAAGAAACTATTATCGCAGGCAGGAAAAGAAATCTTATTGAAAAGTGTGGCTCAGGCTATGCCTACCTTCTCAATGAGTGTTTTCTTATTGCCTACTAATATCTGTATGGCTATTGAGCGGTTGATGAATAGATATTGGTGGGGCTCAGGGACTGACCAGAGAATCCATTGGAAAGCCTGGGATAAGTTATGTATACCCAAGAAGTATGGTGGATTGGGTTTTAAAGACCTAAGAGCTTTCAATGTGGCACTATTGGGAAAGCAAGCTTGGAGGCTATTGACCAATACAGACTCTTTGGTTTCTAAAGTTTATAAGGCCAGATATTATCCTAACCAACCTTTTACTGATGCAATTCTAGGAAACAATCCAAGTCATTGTTGGCGGAGCATTATGACGGCTAAGAGTTTAATTTGTAGTGGGGTGAGAAGACGAATTGGGAACGGAGATTCTACCTTTGTGTGGGGACACCCGTGGTTGCAAGATAAAGATGACCCCATGATCCAGACAGAAATGCCACCCCAACTGAGTAATGCCAGAGTAATCAATTTAATTAACCAAGATACAGGCACTTGGGATTATGATTTACTTACTGATATTTTTGAGCCTGGTGATGTGAGTAGGATTCTAAAAATACCAGTCTCCCCAAGCTATGATGACATGTGGTATTGACATGGGGACCCCAAGGGCAATTACACGGTTAAACATGGGTATAGGTGTATGGTGGGGAATTATGAAAATATTGCAAATGTGGGATTTGCAAAGTGGCTCACATTGTGGAAACAGAAAATACCACCCAAATGGAAAACCTTACTATGGAGGGTTTTGAGTGATATTCTTCCTACTATCCAAAACTTGCTTATAAAAAGAGTGGAGATTGATCCGGTGTGTGCCATGTGTGGAGTTGCAAATGAAGATATTATGCATACATTGGTTTCGTGTGACTATACAAGACCATTTGGGCACTATCTAACCTTCCATCTACAAATATTGTGACAAATATTTTTTATGAATGGTTTAGTGAAATGTTAAATGTTCTAGATTCTGATGGTATTGCCTACGCAGCTGCAATTATTTATCATGTATGGAGAGCTCGGAATGGTGCGGTTTGGGATGCATGTTTGCCCAGACCACGGCGAGTGCTCGCCGCGGCCCAGGCCGAAATTACAGCATGGCGTCAAGCCCATGCACCAAGAAGGGACCCGAGTCCCGTGATGCCCAGCACAGTAGCGCAACCCACTGCTCACGGAACCGGAACCGGTACAGCCCAGCATGCCGCACCCAATCACACTCCGACGCAACCACCACCATCCAAGTGCTATGTCAATGCTGGATATCGACACACGGACAACACAGCAACGGTTGGAGTGGTAATACTAGGACCGGGTGGTCAATTTGTCTCAGCGTACTCCGCACCTTTGCCACATTGTTTTTCACCACTCATGGCGGAGGCTTATGCTTTTAAGGAGGCTCTTTCTTGGCTACGCGAGCGTGGAGAGCAAAATATGGAGCTTTATACAGATTGCCAGGTACTGCAGACTTACTTAATGACACCACAGCTGCTGACACGATCGTATGTTGGCTATGCAATTGATGGATGCAGGAATCATTTATCTACTTTTAATTATTGTTATGTTAACTTCTTACCTAGATCGCAGAATATTTTAGCACATAGTTTAGCTACTACAGCTTTCCAGTATGACACAGCTATGTATTGGGATACTATCCCACCGGACGCTATTTCAGCTTATCTATGAATACAACCCATTGGTTGACCTTCAAAAAAAAAAAAAAAAAAATTCTAAGTACTATAAGACTCAGTGTTGCAAAAATCTCGCCTAGGCACCGATTAATTTCTGCCTAGGCGCTACGCGCTGGCCGACCACCTAGCGTATCACCATAATCGATGATCTAGACGGTTGGCCGGCTAGGCCGCCTAGGCTTCTTAGGCACCGACTAGGCCGCTTAGTCAGCCGATTAACTATTGTTTCCTTCTTTTCTAAATGAGTTATTTCACTCAAAACGATGTGTCATTTTGAGCAAAATAACTCTAACTTGTTTAAACTCTATGTTTTTTTGGTTAATATTTAATATTTTAGTATTAAATATTAAAATATTAAATAGTTTATTATAATTAATAAGTCTTAAAAAACTTTAAAAATTTAAACAATTTTTTAAAAAATAAAAAATACACGGACGCCTAGCGATTTTTTCAACCATGATAAGACTAATATGGATTCAACTATAAGCCAATGTTTCAAGTTCGACTCCCAATATAATGAGAGATACATGCATATTGGTTTCTTGGTTTGAGACAGTCAACTATATATGTGCAATATATCTAGGTTGCTTTACCTCATTCTGATCTTTTGCCGATTAAGGTCACAAGTTGAGTTTCACCTAGGGCGTACCTTCGGATAGCAATTATGAGCTTCTCTATAAATCAACATATGGATTCAACTTGAGTTACACTTCATAGAGTTCAACTCTTACTCGAAAAGATTTGATCAAAATTCTTTAACACGACGCATATATTCCATTCACTTTTGTCCATTTAAAAGTTGTATTTCATCTTTTCTAGTGCAATTTACTTTTTCTCTGTGGTTTACAGACTATATCACATATGAATATGATACCTATCACATATCTTAAGATACTGGCTGAGCAATTCCTTGTCATTAAAAAAAAAAAAAAAAAAAAAATCTACTTGATCTCTTACCATTTTTAATATTTGTTATTGTTATGATTGACATAGTAAAAAACGACAACGTTACGTGTTAGTAATAGTTACTTTTACTTATATCACCTAACTATGTCTTTTTTCTTACCCAAATAATGGTCCAATTTTAGTAGCAAAGTGGTGATAATAAGGAAAGATTCTAAAGCAAGAATCCCACCTTTACGCTTTATAGGGGAAACTGAGGTTGAGAGTTGGGAATGAAAAGTGAAGTAAAATTTAGGCCATAAAACATGCATGCCTAAGATGCCGGCCGGCACTTTTGCTTTTGCGAAAACTGAGGTTGAGAGATTGGGGGAGCAGTATCCAAAAAGAAACTGCACTGTATATAAGCCAGAAAATGTGACTAAAAGATTCTCATCAGATCACCTAATAATCTCCGATCCTCTTCTACTCGATCTACACTACATATAACTCCCTCCATACACATTACTACCTTCACTCCTACAATTACTAATCAATAAGCTTCCAAATCACATCGGTTTTGCAATCATTTGTGAAATGCCATTGGGGAGAGTAGCTAAATTGGCCTTTAAAGTTGATTATTGTGTGATATAATTTGCACTGAGATCCATTTTCGATTTGGGTCAGATCAAAGAAAAATCAAGTTCTCCTAATTGGGAATGTTTTAAGTAGGAAAATTTTATGGTCCACACAGCTGTGTGGATCATGCTCCAAAACGATGTCTTTTCTTTTAATGAAAAGAAACGACACCCGTTTTGTGTAATTAATTAATTCTATTTATATAGCATATTCATTTTCATTTTATATATATTGTAGTTTCATTTCAGTACAACAAAAGTTTCATTTTGTTTCAACTAATGTTTCATTTGACATTATACATATAATAGTCTTATTACAGTGAGACCTGTTATTGAATTTAATTTTATACACACTTTAATCTTATTACAATACCACTAAATTATAATTCTAATTCAACTACGGTTTCATTGGCCAATATAAACTCAAATATGTGAAACTGTTATTCGGTTTCATTTTATATACATTGTAGTTTCATTACAACACAACTAAAATATCATTCTGATATAACTACAGTTTCATTTGGCAATATACACTCAATATGTGAGACATGTTATTAAGTTTCTTTTTATACATACTGTAGTTTCATTTAAGCACAACTAAAACATCATTTCAATTCAACTACGGTTTCATTTGACAATATACACTCAATATGTCAGACATGTTATTCAGTTTCATTTTATACATACTGTAGTTTCATTTCAACAAAACTAAAGTATCATTTCAATTCAGTTACACTTTCATTTGATAATATAAACACAATATGTGAGACAAGTTACTCAGTTTCATTTTAGATACATTGTAGTTTTATTTTGTTCTGAACACATGCACTAGAAATACGGAATTTGTTAAATATAACGGCTGCCGTTTCTTTACTTAAAGAAACGGCACCGTTTTCGAACCATGGTCCACCGTATAACAATTGTTTTAAGTAGCGTTTGTTTGGAGAGGGCTATGAGTTTACACTAGTATATATACAATTAAACTTTTTTAAAAATTTGAATTATATAGCATAAATGTTTTCTTTCGCACAAGAGGGGTGCAAGTGTTAGAATATTTACGTGAGGAAGTAAGCATGCATGCATTGGATTTTGGTGTTTATGTTGAAAGGCTGGTGTGTGGGACGGAAGTATCACCCAATATTGGTGTTTTCATTGAGAGATTGGAGTGTGGTGGGAAATGGTTACGTGACCGTCAAGAAAGGGTTCAGGTGTGGGATGGAAGTATCACTCAATAATAGTGTTGCAAAAATCGCGCTTAGCGCCGCCCGGTCGTGGCGAGGGAAGCCGGAATCGGCCTCCACTGCGGCCGGTTGAACGTGCGGTTTTTTTTTTTTTTTAGTTGTAAAGTGTCAAATGTTTGGCAAGACATAACTTTTGACTCGGTTATCCGTTTTGGATAATTTTTTTTTTCAAATCGCGTATTTTTTCGAGATCTGTATGAAACAAACAGCCAAAGGTGGTTTGCCCCATCAATTTCTCAAAAAAATGCTTCTTTTGCTCTTAATTTTAGTTTTTTTTTATGTATTTAGATTGTTTCAACACTATTTTGAACCATTTTACAACTATTAGTGAATTTTTATAATTTTTAGTTTAAATTTAAAAAAAAAACAATTAAAAAAATTTAAAAAATAAAAATAAAAAATCAGGCATCTAACGTATTTTGCAACCTTGTCCAATATTGGTGTTTTCATTGAAAGATTGGAGTGTGGTGGGAAATGGTTACGTGACCGTCAAGAAAGGGTTCAGAGGGTGAGTCGTTTAGGTTGGGTAGGTTTCGCAAAGGGTTCTATTAGTTTGGGTCCGCAGTATGAGTTGTCTAAAGTCGACTTCTCAAGGGATTGTATTATTATTTTAAAAAATAGGTTATTCTCTTGAGTTAAAGGATATTTTTCCTTGCTAGCATGAGGGCAAGTTTTTTAGATATCTATTGTGTGAATGCAAATGTTTTTTAGAGGAAAAGTTATACATATATATATATATATATATATATATATATATATATATTTATTTATTTATTTATTTATTTATTTATTTATTTACTTATTTTTTTTATTTTTTATTTTAGTACTACTAACTCTGTTACAATGTAATATCTGTTCATAACTACTCTCTCAACCTACTAAAGCACAAAAAGCCAATAATCCATCTCCACTAAAGCTTGAACCCACATAGAAGAACAACTTGATGGACCACAAGGTCGTTAGTAGAAAAAGTTCTAATTAACTAATCTACACAAGTGAATAATGAAGATATGAGTTTGATAATTAATCACCATGTTGGACTATATATATATATATATATATATATATATATATATATATATATATTCCTGATTGTTACAGCTGATGAGACCAGTTTGCATAATGCCAAAACGCAGCCGTTTGAGAACATTTCTCCGTAGTAGCCTTCATGGCCGCAAATTCCTATTAATTAGTCAAACATATATAAAGATTGATACGTATGGGTTAGAGAAAAAAAATCTTATTGGTCCTGATTTTATTGACGGTCGAAAGAAGAGTAAGTAGATGCTACGTGAGAATGTTAACTAAAAATATAAGAGTCACACTTGTGTTAAATTGATTCGTGAGGCGAGTCGAATCAGATATGATTTATATAAAAATATAACATTTATACTGAAAAGTATATGTAATACTAATCAAGAATAAAATGTTTGTTACTTATACTTTTGAATGTGTATTACACTTTTCCATTTAAGTAATAAACACTTTAAATTTTTTTTTTTGAGTACTACTGACTTTGTTACAATGTAGTATCTGTTCATAAATACTTTCACAATATACTGAAACACAAACAATCAATACTGCCCCACTGAAAATCGAACTCATAACCTCCCATTTGGGAGAGTAGTCATTTCGTACCACCAGAACATAAGGTTATTAACCCGACCTGTCGTACGGACTCATCCAAGTTTTTGCCAAAATACAATATTTTTTTATAGTAGTTAAAAAAATTTAGTACACATCTTATATGGCACGATCGTATACAATACTTATTTACGGAAGAAAAAGAATATAGTATAAGTTGTGATCCCTCGATCATTGTCTTTGGATCAATATCTTATATTAGAGCATGTTAGGTAAAATAAAAGTGAAAAGTAAACTTTTAGTAAAATTATAGTCACTTATTCTAATTTTATTGGAGAATGAAAAGCAAATGAACAAAAATTGACTCAATTTTTCAGAGAAATTATAGGGCCATGTTAGCTAGGTGTGAATGGTCCCGGAAGAATGATCCAGTGAATAGAGTATGATTTTTGTATTAGAATATCACAAGTTTGATTTTAACCAACATCTTAATTTTATTAATGTGGTTTACGTTTCTCGTGTGATTTGCAAATTATTATATAGAAACGAGAGCACGGACTTGAATAATTGATGTTGTGAGTTTTCTAATCATTTAAAAAATATATAATATTACTCTTTATTATATATAGTACATTTTCAATTTAATTTCTTAA